TCTTTACTTAATGTATACTAAACTGATCTTCTGTAAAAAAAAAAAAAAAGAAATTATCAATTCCCAACTTGACTCTCACTGGGATTAAACATGACGATAGGTCTGATCTGATTTCATCGTCATTTAAAAAATCATCGATTATTTTTTACTTTATGTTTCTGTGTGGGAGCAAACAGTTGAAATCTTTACTTTATGTATGCTAAACTGATCTTCTGTATATAAAGACAATTGAAAATGAATCTTGATGTGAATGGAAGGGGAGAGGGAGTGGGAAAGGGGAGGGTTGCGGGTAGGAGGGACGTTGTGGGGGGGAAGCCATTGTAATCCATAAGCTGTACTTTGGAAATTTATATTCATTAAATAAAAGTTAAAAAAATAAAAAAATAAAAAACAGTGCAGCAATATCTATAATGACTGAGAGGATCTGACAAGAGAAGAAAGCCTCCTAGCCCAACTTCTGGTCCCTTTTCCCTGCCATCTCAGAGGAGCAGTGTATCTTCCAGAGAAGATTTTATTTGTGGTTTATTCTATAAGTGATTGAACATGGGACAGAGCAAATGGTCTTGTTGAGTGAGACCGTATTAGCAGGATTTGTAGCGGGTTTTGTCCCCTTCTCCTTTCTCCCTTTCCCTGTACTTTGTAACGTCAGTGTTTATATGACTATGACTTTCATTTGCTTTTCCAGAATAAAGAAGTTATTAATCAAAATAAAGAATGAGAGCATAAATCAATAAAAATTGATTTAAAAACTAAAGAAAACTAATAAAAGCCAGTGCTGGTTCATCAAGAATATCAATAAAATGGATAAACCTCTAGACAGACTGATGAGAAAAAAATGGGAGTAGACACAATCTAACATCAAGAATGAGGTGACATCACCATACATTCTGCAGATATTAAAGGATAATAAAGGACTGTTGTAAACAGCTTTATTCTAATGATTTCAGCAACTTAGATGAAGTGAACTATTTACTTGAATAATACAAACTACCAAAGTTCACTCAAATTTTTAAGAATATTAAAGCCCAGATCTATTAAACATAAAGTCTGAACAAATTAGTAATAGAACTTCTCTAACCCGATAAAGGGAATTTAGCGAAACCTGTGTCTAATACCAAATATTGGCAAGAAACTAAATACTTTCTCCCTAATATCAGAAACAGACAAACGATTGCATTCTCACTACTCCTATTCAATATTGTAGGTTTCTAGCTAGTATAATAAGAGAAAGAAATGAAAGACATCCAACCAGGAAAGGAAATAGTAAAACCATCTTCATTTTTCCTATGTAGACTTGATCATCTCTATAGAAAATTCAGTGGAGTTTACAAAAGAATTACCAGAACAAATTGAGTGAGTTTAGTATGGTTGTGAAATAAAATACCAGTATACAAATATCAGTTGTATGTCTCTATACTCAATGTTGAATAATTGGAATTCAAAGTTTAAAACATTTCTAACAGCATATAAAGTATGAAAAACTTACAGATAAATCTAGCAAAGATGTACAAAATTAACACACTGAAAACCCTAAAATGTTTCTGAGATATTTTAAAGACCAAAATAAATAGAGAGATAGTCCTTTTCACGAGTTAGAAAACTCATTATTGCTAAAATGTTAAAATGTCCTCCCTGATTCATCTATAGAATTATAGATCGCCTTTATATAGAAACTGATAGGGCTGGCTTCATGGCATCCCATATAGCTGTGGATTCGAGTCCTGGCTGCTGCATTTCTGATCCAACTCCTTGCTAATGTGCCTGGGAAAGCAGTGGAAGATGACCCAAGTCCTTGGGCCCCAGTGGAAAACCTGGAAGGAGCTCCTGGCTTCTGGCTTCTGGTTCCGGACTGGCCTAGCTCCTGCTGTTGTGCCCATTTAGGGAGTGAACCAGTGGATGGAAGATTCTCTCTCTAACTCTCCCTCTTTTTCTCCATGAACTCTACCTTTCAAATAAATAAATAAATCTTTAAAAAAAAAAAACAAACCGAGAACTGAAAAATTCATATAAAATTGTATATTACCTAGAATAGTGAGTTTTTTTTTATAAAAGAACATAGCTGGAGGACTGTCACTTGTATGTACATTATTTTGAACTTAAAAATGGATTCCTGGGTGTTTATGTGTGTCAACACTTAGGAAATTGACACTTTAAATATGCATGGTTTATTTTATATCATTTATACCTCAGTGGAGCTGGCTTTCCTATTGGGAAATGGAATAGTAGAAAATACAAAAAAAAAAAAAAAAAAAAAAACAGAGCAGATTGTATAAATAAAACAGAGTAATATAATAGATTTTCTCTAATGCCTCAACTGTTAATTGCTCTATCAAAAGATAGAGATTGTGAGACTAGAGAATAATTGTATTCAAAATAATTATTTAAATCTTCTACTTGGTGACAGTTTGTTATAGCCTTTATCATCTTAATGTACCATGCTTTATTAATGGTAGGCACAAGGAAATACTTACATTTATGAGAATGCCATAAGGAATAATTTAATAAACAGTATTTTTATCCCTGGCTTCAGCTGAATTGTGGTTTGAAATGAGGCTTTTTCCTAGGGATGTTTGGGCTTTACAAGGGGATTGATGGGTAGCCTATGGTTCCCCCACTCTTAATCTTATATGTAAAATACTGCATATTTGTATACTTGTCCAGGAAAGAGTCTATGGCTTTCATTAGTATCTCATAAATAAAATATATGTAAGAATCATAATTTAAGAATGGGAGAAGTAAGTGCTGTTCTACATATTTAATTTCTTGATAGTACATCCCTAAAATTGATTTCTAGAGAATGATTCCTATGAGTTGATCTGTATGTGTTTGAGTGTCATCACTGTAACCTGGAGCAACAACTTAAATGTTATTCGAGGCTTTGTGTGGTTCAAACTCCGATAAAATCCCCTTATTTCTTACTGCTGCGCCAGGATTCTCATGGTGCGCTTCCCATATCAGCAGTAGCAGCAGCAGCTGGGAACTTGCTAGAAATGCGTTTTCTCAGGCCCAGTGCAGACCTTTAGGATCAGAAGGTCTGGAGGTGGGGACCAGCAATCAGTGTTGTTTAAGGAGCTCTCCAAGTGATTCTGGTGTGCCCTAAAGTTTGATAACCATCAGATTAGACTACACTTACAAATTCATATCTCCTTCCCTGGTTCAAGGCTAAGTTTAGAACCATTCGTTAAGAAAATGGCTACAAAATGACCAGGCTAACATTGATGGCTTACATTTTCCATCTCTTTGTCCTCAAAGAGCCCAAATCGCTCTCACACAAGTGTCTTGGGTTGCACAGCAACATTGAGCAACAGTTTAGAGAAACCAGTGTCCAGCTGAAACTGAATTTGGAGACACAGCATGAGTCCACTCTTAAAAATTCTGACCAGGCGGCTTTTCAGGGATGGGCCCAGCAATTCCAAGGGCCTTGGCTTTCAGCCTCCTTTGAAGAGTAGAACATTCAGACTCTGAGACACACTGAGCCCCAGGAATGAAGTCTTATTTATCCCCTTCTAGCCATGTGGTACCCTCAAATGCCCTTTCATGCAGTGCTAAGGGTCCCCATGCTCCATCTGCAAAGTAACTTTATTAATTCACTCAGCCTATGTTCAGAGAACCAACGGGAAAAAGGTGTCAACATAAAACTTGAGCCATCCAAAACCAGCCTCTGAAAGCTTCAACTGATCATTCTTTCTGGTCCTCCTGTTGGCTGAAGCTTGATTTGTTATGGCACCTTACTGTTCTGCTGACAGGAAATAGCCTAGGGTGCGTCACGCAGCTCTCATTAAAGGAGAGCAGCCAAGTGGAATTCATTCTTGGCTCTTAGCAGTTTTCAAATGAGAATTTTATTGCATATTAATGAGCCCTAATTGACATTTGTGACTGGTTTTTATGGAAATCATGCACGTATAATTTGCATAATAGTACCTAAGTGCTTTTAGATAACAGGAACTCTGGGACATTGGTAAGAGCTTTTGTTTTGTTTTGTTTTGTTTTCCTATTCCCAAACCCTGGCCTCTGGAATAGTGTGGAATATTACCAGGTTTCTAGGATTTGCTATGAAGCCCAGTTTGTCTGGTTGTTCCAGCTTGTACCCATGAGTCAGAAGAACATAGCAGGGCTCCTGTCTGGAAGGCGGAGGTTCTCCTGTGGTAGTCAGGGGAGATGTCCCAACCCTCGCTGTACTTTCATGAACTGACTCTCATGCTTCTCCTAGGTGGTAGGAGTATCTAGTCAGTCCCAAGGATTGTTCCTGGGACTTGGTGCTATGTAATGTTTTCTTTTTTAAAAAAATTATTTATTCATTCAAAAGGCAGAGGGACAGGGTGAGAGAGAGAGAGAGAGAGAGAGAAAGAGAGAGAGAGAGAGGTCTTCCCTCCACTGGCTTGCTCTCCAAATGACCACAATGGCCAGGTCTGGGCCAGGCTAAAGCCAGGAGCACCATCTGGGTCTCCCACATGGGTGGTAGAGATTCAGTAACTTGGGCCATCCTCTGCTGCCTTCCTAGGTACATTAGCAGGAAGCTGGATTGGAAGGGGAGT